ATTCTGGCTAGTGTGTCAGGTCAGCACTGTCCCTTCATACAAATATTAATTCTGGCTAGTGTGTCAGGTCAGCACTGTCCCTTCATACAAATATTTATTCTGGCTAGTGTGTCAGGTCAGCACTGTCCCTTCATACAAATATTAATTCTGGCTAGTGTGTCAGGTCAGCACTGTCTCTTCATACAAATATTTATTCTGGCTAGTGTGTCAGGTCAGCACTGTCCCTTCATACAAATATAAATTCTGGTTAGTGTGTCAGGTCAGCACTGTCCCTTCATGTACTATAGCCCGGGCAAGGTTCCTAGTCAGTGCCAGTTTGATCAAACTCATCTTTTCCAACTCTGCATCAGAAAAACCCTATATAAAAAGGATAATCTAAGTAAATACAAGTAATAATGCATAAACATATTTACAAAATTAAAGAACTAAGTGGTGAATTCATTTGAGGTTCAAAGCATGTTTTTGAAATAAAACTGTTGAGAGTGATATCAATTCATCCACACCACAAGAAAAAACTCTGCACATTGTTTTTCAGAAACACATTAGAAACCTTTTTGTTACATGATGCATTGCTGCAGGTCTCAAATACTCACCTTGTGATCACCCACTAGCTGGTCTGTTTTCTCTTCTGCTTCCAATTTTTCAGCCAAACTTAACTCTTCCAAGCAGTGCATTAATTCATAGGTCTGTTGACTAGTGAAGACAACCTGAATATACAACTTATTGCATCAATAGGAGGACACTTTTTTACATACAGGGCACAGACCAATTGCACAATACAGGAATGAATAAGCAAAAAAAAAAATAAAATAAATAATAATAATAATAATAAAAATAAATAAATAAAATAAATAATAACATCTCCTTTTTAAGAATACAGCATCACTTTCATCAAACAAAGATTTCAAAAGAATTTTTAAATAAATTCTTTTAAAAAGTGAAGTAAAAATTATAATTATATCCAACATTAGCATTACCTCATCTGCTTCTAACAGTGGCAATGCATCAGTGAGGAGTGTCAGCCAAAATCTAGAAAATAAGATTACAATACCAAAGACACGAGTTGTGGCTCATAGATGGGAGTACATTAGCATGGGTGAAAGTTGTAAAAACTGAAAATCCTGAAAACGTAGCTTGCAATACCTCATTGCATTTAGACCACATGAAAAAAACAATCTTCATGAAGACTGAAAATCATGAAATCGGGCATAATCCTGAAAACTTTCATCCATGCATTAGTAATAAAAAATGCTAATATAAATTACAATTTCTTAATCTATTTTTTTTGCTTATTTTTTTTTCATTTGCCAATTCATTTGAAATATAAACCAGTTGCATTTTTCAATTGTGACAACAGGAATCATACATAAAGGTTTGTCTACTATCTTACTTTTTTGGTGCAAGTCTTGCAGTCAGTAGGGACAGCAGGAGTGAAGTTGCTGCTTCAAAGTCCCCATCTTCATATAACTTGTGAAATTCTCTATATTTTCCTGTAGTTATAGTTTTAGATAATACAGTGTAAGGAGTGAATTTCACCATGATAGTTATCAGACTTAAAAATCTGTAACATCCGTAACAACTAATTTCATTAAAACATTTATTTCAATAACTAACTGTTACAATAATAATAATAATACAATGGAAAAACAAAGCCTTGAGAATGCCAAAACAATTTCATTTTTGGTTCATGTTATTTACTTTTTTAAAAACAAATTCTTAAAATATTTAAAATACTTCTAAATTAATTTGTTTCACTTTGGAATCTGTCCTCTTAATAAGAAAGAAACGAACTTTACCAAGGAATGTTAGTCTGTCACTTAAGAGCATGGCTTGTCCCAGGTTATCTAGAAGGTCAAGGTTACTGAAGTCACCTGTTGCCCTGTACCTGGTGAGAAACCTGGAAATTCACATAAATAAAGAGAAGTGTTAAAATCATCACCTGATTGTAAAGTGAAAATAATCACACATAAAACTTTGGCATTTAAATGCACAGTTTTTTATGTAGAGTCCAAACCAGATTTGTAGAATACCTGCACAGATACGATGCACATTAAACAGATTTTATTCATTAATTCTTGGAGGGGTGCAAGTAGTAAGTAACTTAAGTAGCTTTAATCATATATGGTGTACTGATATAGAAATGTGATACAAAATGAAATACCCAAAAAAAAATATATATATATATACACACGTAAAAACAAAATAACAAAGAAATTCCAGTGCAATAGTATAATGATCATGGTAGTAACTATAACGCAATTAATGATTCTCAACAAATTGACATCCCATTCAACCACTCCGAGTAACTTGTTGCCAAGATTTAAATACAGGCTTACTGTTCAGCAAGGTAGGTGGCAAAAGTGACATCCTTGGACTTGAGGCACCAAGACAAGGCTGATCCCAGTCTGTCATTGTGCAGTGCCTTCATTCCCATCACTTTACAAATACTGTTAGCTAAAACATAAAAACAAAAGAAGTTGAAATACTGTTTTAACCAATATTTTATTTCATTATGTTTAATGTTAGTGTGGATAATATGTGCCTAAAGTCCAGGATTTTTGTGTTAAGTCTCAAGGAGGTTTAGCAGAGTTTAATATAATACAGTTACTGAAAATTAGTTTGGCATGCTTTAACTTTGCTACCTCTTTGATTTCATGTGTGATATTCTCTCTATTTAACAACATTAATATTTAATCCATATCAGTAAATTTCTTACTCATCAGTTACATCATGCTTTTCCAAAAACAAAACTGTTCTTTGTTAATTTGTGTATGCTGGATATGAATCACAGCAGTTTGACCATTTCATTTCAGAGGTGTAGTTAGTTTTTTTATGTAACACACAGCTGTTTGATTTTTTTTCTTAACATCAAAGAAAAACTTGTGTGAAATAATTTAAACAATTTAAATCTTTCAACACAGAAGAACACCATTAAAGCATGAAAACCTCTGCATTACATTAACGATGTTACTATACCTTGGTCATGCATGTCCCTTTGTTCACATATACGAAGTACTTTATGAGCTTTCCTTTCTGAACTAAGTGGAATATGTTCAATGTACTGCTCTAAATATTGCCTGAAATTAATTAATTTATTCAATCAAAGAATTTTAAAAGATCAAAGAAATTTAATCAAATATTATATATATATATATATATATATATATATATATATATATATATTCAAAGGTCAAATAACTTATGTAAGTCAACAGACTGAACAAAACACAAAGCTTGGTTTATAAACTTTAAGTTAGCAACGAATGGGAAATGCAATAAATGACAGACAAACTGGATAAAAAAAACATCTGTGACAAAACACTGCCAGTATTCCTACTGACCCTGTTAATTGTATGCTTCCTTACCTTCCAAACTCTGGACAGTGATCAAGATAGGGAATTCCAACCTGCCAGAGACTGAAATGAAAATTAAAAACATGTGGGTTGAAAAATGCCTCTTTAATTGTTTAGCTCTGTGAAAGTTTACTATTAAGAACTAATTATGAATTTATTAACATAATCATGAATAAATTATGAAAATGATATCATGAATTCCTTTGGCAAAATATGAGGCCTATTGCAAATTTGCAGTGAATTTGCAGCAAATTTACTGCAGTGCAGCTGCAATGAAATTTTTCTCGCATACTCCTGCAAACTTGTAAGTTGTTGCTACAAACTTTTAGTTTGAAGCAATATTACTGCAATTTTGTTGCAATATGCAATTTAATAATGCAAAAAAAAAAAAAAGAAAGAAAAAAAAAAAATTCAAAGACTGATTGAAATAAGTAGTAAAACAAGCTACTGAGATGAAGGCAGAGCACCAACCTTTCATGTGACATCAGACCAGAGGCATATTCCAGCAATAAATACTCCCTCAAATTTGACCCAAAGCTAGAAAATAACATAATTTAACTGTATCTTTAAAATTTTTTCACAGCTACACAATATATAATCAGGAATAGAAAGAGAGAAGCATTAAAACAGCTATTTGACAATTGTCATATATCATAACAAAGGCATATGACTGTTGGTACCCGTAAAACAAAAGTTGACAATGTGTTATTTTAATTTTGCTGTTGTTCGAGGTTTAGCAGTCTTATGGACTTGAGATGGTGTTTGTAACTGTGCACTGAAACACAAAGGTTAGAAGCCATTGTGTTATATGTAACATACATAGTACATTAAGTTTGATATTATAGTAGGAGCCCATATCAAGCTAGACACTGTGCTTGTTATGATATATACTAAACTCAGTATGGGGCAAGGCAGTCTATCACAGAAACACAGGTCCCACACCAAATGCCTGCTAAACTGAAGAAGGGCCATTAAAATTGTCAACTTGTTCAGTTACTAGGCCTTATTTCTGCTTTGGCCTAGTAGATTCTTACATCCTGGTGTCTCCAAGGATCAACAAGCTAATGGTTTTGGGACAGACTGGAGTTGGGTATGATAGGTTATACTCACTTGAGTTTGTGTGCCTCCAGCTGTCCACAGTGATGCAGAAGGTCAGTGAGATGAGACACAAACCACCAGTTGCTTAAATAAGAACTGAAATCAAACCAAAGACAACATCAATATATTAAGAGCCTTCTGATAAGACCAAAGTGCATCAATTCCAATCTAATCTCAAGCATCCCCTTACAAACAGACATTGCCTCACCATAAAGGTTGCGGGTGTGACAGGAATGGAAGCTAAGGCACTAGGAACCCTAGTCTTTTCCCCCATTACTTTGTACAGGTGATATTTGTCCCATAAGCTAATCCCAGTAATCCGACTAACCCTAACCTGTACAAATCAAATGGGACCACAGATTTCCATTCCTAGGATTACAATTCCTGTACTTATCTACAGATATAAAAGCTGTAAGCTCCAAACCTGCTTTCTTTGATGACCTGGTGGATGTCAAACTCTATGGCAGCCAGCAGGATATTCTCCAAGGGATCCACTTTGCTGTTGCCCCCATAGGCATCAATACAGGACTGAAATACACAGCATTACATCATGGAATTGAAAATGTCTAGAAATGAATTGGTTTTCAAAAGGCATGATACTTATTAAAATACAGATTAAGAAGTATAAATTTCTGGTTGAAGTTAAGTTAAAAACCAATCTTCTACCAAATAAATGCAATTATTGCCTCCACTGACCAAGGAGATATATTTTCCTCTGGATTGGTTTGTTTTGATGAAACCTTCAGTATAGAGTTATTTTAGAGGGAAATAATCAACAATTTCAACTGAATCCGGGTATCCAAATATTTAAATAAGAAATTCTGTCATTAGGCAATGCATTAAAACACTTA